AAATTTTACATTTATATTAGGTATATCATGTAAATGGTAAAACGATAACCAAAATTTGTCTAATCATCCCCAACACTAATGTGATGACGTCACTTCAAAATTGTACATAGTAAGTGAGTTTTAAATTGTATCAAATAACAGTCTTACACATGTAGTTTATGACTCATCCGAATTGAGATTTTACCAGAAAGGTCCAATTGGAAAAAAAATCAAAATTAGGAAACAACATTTTGACATTTAATTTGGAATCTGCAAAATGCTTCGAAATCTTGCAGATGATTTACAATTATGATAACATTGATAACCATGATAAGTTTTTATTCAAAATATATTTACTTGTCCACTCCAAAATATTGATGACGTCACCTGAAATGTTTGCCGAACAAATCCTAACTAAAATGTAGAAAATATGATGTGTCTGTACCTGTAATTTATTATTTAATTCATATTTTTTGGATTTGCATATACAGAGTGACTCAAAAAAATTAATGAATGCGTGAATATATTTTATTTATTTAATCAGGAACTGCAAAACCGAATGCTGTGAAATCTTGGAGATGTTTTACAGTTATCATAGGCATGGTAAATTTTTTATCAAAGTATATTTGCTCATCCCCCTCCTAATAAATTGATTACGCCACCCCAAAATTTTTCCGAAAAAATGCTATCTTAAATGTGCAATGCAAAGAATGATGAGTCTATAATTGTGATTTATCACTGCATAAATATTTTTTAGATTTGCTTATACGGGGTGTGTGAAAAAAAATAATGACTGAGTAAATTTATTTTATTGATTAAATCAAGTATCGCAAAACTGAATACTTTGATATCTTGACGTTTTGAAGTTATTGTAAGCATGGTAAATTTTAATGAAAATGTATCTGTTTATCAACCCTAAAAAACTGATTACGGCATCTCAAAATTTTGCCGAATAAATTCTTTGATAATGAAAATAATTATTTAAACAATTACAGACTTTTGACCGTATTCGAGATGACGCAAATTTTGTCGATATCTGGGTATCAGTACCTGAAACTACCGATTCACTTGGTAGATAATTACTAGATATATTGCGAATTGTATCGTCGCTAAATTATCAGACGAAGAAGCTGAAAGATCTTATCTTCTGGCCACCAAGTAGCTAGAAGGAACCAAACATTTGACGTTTGTTCGAGTTATAATTATATGAATTTATAGGTATGTAATTAAAATTTTTGTTGGTGAATTTCGTATTATTCTTATTATATTTAATTAAAAAATTAACACAAATCCGATGAATACATCCAAACAGTGCATATCACTTGTCTGGGTCATGCTTTGAAATTATTGGCCGAAACATTTGGCCCTCAATACAAAGACGGTTTGATATCTATTGTTAAACAAATTTTTGTCAAAGCTCTTTTATGGGTGGAAGTTTCTAAGGCGAAGTTCAAATATTTATCGCTGCCACCACTATCTGTTTTTAGGCGCTGGGGAGCATGGCTTGAGGCGGTTCTCTTTTATAGTAAATATTTCGATTCTATCAAAAACGTGAACACACTGTCCTTCTATCTCAATCCCAAAATTAATTTAAACTTTTTTTATACAGGTTATTATGTCATTTAACCAAACTTCGTCACAAGCGATCCCGAAAGTTAAATGGGTGATGGAATGAAGGAATTAACAGCTGCTCTAATGTATATTGCATGCCATTTTAAAATTAGAAACGAAGGTATTGGACAATTAGAAACAGTAGGCTTGTCTTTCTTTAAAAAATGGTCCAGGTACGGTGACCGCGTCTGTGTTGACTAATTTCGGATTTTAAGGAACTATTTTTACTATTACTGTTAGCTAGTAGTCTATAAAATATTCATTTTAGATAGTTTAGATTGATACTCATAAGTGGTTAAAGACCTATTATCAAAATTCTAACCGCCTACGAGTGATTACATATATTCACTAATGGCAATATTATTTCATTAACTTTACAATAATAATAAGATATATGGCGTCTTCATAAAATATTGTAGTCAAGGAAGACCATGACTTTGTTGACACTGTGTGCTGCCATTCACAGTTTTGTGGAAACGATTACATTAATATTGGATTTTTTATTTTTAACGTCACATTAGTGGCTGATCTGTTTCGGCACCAACGCTTCATCAGATTCTGTCGGATGTCAATATATTTTTTATTTTTACTGATGACTTTTTTCCCACACTTTGTGCGTTAATTGACTTGTCTTCTTGGTTTCATTTGCTGTCTTCACACTTGTTCCAACTTTAAGTGTCTCAGAAACAGTTTTTATCAAAACTTCAGATCATTGTCGAATAATCTCAGGCAATGAACACAGAAGAATGACTCTGGTCAGTGTTACAAATAACATTTTTACTTCCCGAGCGTAAGCAAAGGAAGTATTGTAATCGAGTCCGTCGGCCGACTCTCTACTTTTACGTTTTCTCGATCTTTCATGACCCCTAGAAGACGAAGAAATAGGTCTCCCATTTCCGTCTGTCTGTCCGTCTGTCCGTCTGTCCGTCTGTCCGTCTGTCCGTCCGTCTGTCCGTCCGTCTGTCTGTCCGTCTGTCCGTCTGCCGTCCCGGATTTTTATTAGACAGATAATCTCCGAAAGTACTCGACCGATTGTTGTGAAATTGTGTACTTATATTAAGAATATCATGTAGATGGTGAAACGCTAACCAAAATTTGTCTAATCATCCCCACCACTAATGCGATGACGTCACTTCAAAATTGTACATAGTAAATGGGTTTTCAATTGTATAAAATAACATAGTCCTACACATGTAGTTTACAACTCTGAATCGACTTTTCCAGATTTTTGGAAAAAAAATCAAAATTATAAAACAACATTTTGAAATTTAATTTTTAATCTGCTAACCAGAATGCTTTGAAATGTTGCAGGTGTTTTAAGGCTATAAAGAGCATCATAAACCTTTAGTCAAAAAATATTTGCTTATCCCCTCCAAAAACTTGATGACGTCAGCTCAAAAGTTTGTGGAATAAATCATATCTAAAATGTACAAAATATGATGAGTCTGTACTTGTCATTTATCACTCCATTCATATTTTTTGGATTTGCATATACAGGGTGACTCAAAAAAATTAATGAATGCGTAAATATATTTTATTGATTTAATCAGGAACTACAAAACTGAATGCTCTGAAATCTTGCAGATGTTTTAAGGTCATAAAGAGCATAATAAATGTTTAGTCAAAATATATTTGCTTATCCCCTCCAAAAACTTGATGACGTCAGCTCGAAAATTTGCCGAATAAATCATATCTAAAATGTACAAAATATGATCAGTCTGTACTTGTGATCTATCACTCCATTCATATTTTTTGGATTTGCATATACAGGGTGATTCAAGAAAATAAATGAAAGCGTAAATTTATTTTACTGATTTACTCAGGAACTACAAAACCGAATGCTTCGAAATCTTGAAGATATTTTAAAATTATCATAAGCATGGTAAATTTTTGATCAAAACGTATTTGGTCGTCCCCCCAAAAAAATTTATGATGTCACCACAAAATTTTGCTGAATAAATCCTATCTAAAATGTACAAAATATGGTGAGTCTCTTCTTGTGATTTATCATTCCATTCAAATTTTTTCGATTTGCATATACAGGGTGACTCAAAAAAATTAATGAATGCGTAAATTTATTTTATTGATTTAATCAGGAACTACAAAACCGAATGCTTTGAAATCTTGCAGATGTTTTAAGCTTATAAAGAGCATAATAAATTTTTAGTCAAAATATATTTGGTTATCTTCTACAAAAAACTGATGACGTCAGCTCAAAAGTTTGCCGAATAAATCGTATCTAAAATGTACAAAATATGATGAGTCTGTACTTGTGATTTATCATTCCATTCATATTTTTGGATTTGCATATGCAGGGTGACTCAAAAAAATTAATGAAGGCGTGAATTTATTTTATCGATTTAATCAGGAATTACAAAACCGAATGCTTTGAAATCTTGGGAATATTTTAAAGTTATTATAAGCATGGTAAACTTTTGTTCAAAATGTATTTGTTTATCCCTCCTAAAAAAATTGATGACGTCACCTTTAAATTTTGCTGAATAAATCCTATCTAAAATGCAAAAAATATGATGAGTTTGTACTTGTGATTTATCATTCCATTCATATTTTTTAGATTTTCTTAAGAGGTGGTTCAAAAAAATTAATGAAGTCAATTTATTTTATTGATTAAATTAAAGGCAACACTTATTATTAGTATTACACCCCAACCAACCCAATTTGGTAGACACAAAATTTGTTAAAGGAAAAACTCGGTTGAAACATAAGGGTAGCACGCTTAGTTACATCGACTTTAACATTACAGACCTGCATTTGTTTTATGCGCTCACTTGGTTCCGCGAATGTGAAATAGACATGTTTATAATCAACCAATTGTGGATTTCACCGTCAAGAATTAAAATAAAACCCAATGTTTTATATAATAAGCGGAAGTCGGTCGTTTTGTTTACAGTTTCTCTGTTTGACTCTCACGTATGCTGTTACGCCTGTCATCTTAAATTAAGAATGTTTATACATACGTATACGTGAGTAAATTGTTTCGTTATTTTATTGATTATTACAAATCAATATTCAAAACGACCCGATTCATTTTCCCGAAAATTTGAGAATATAATAATTTTATTCTTAGTGTTACACTACATCTATCCCAACTAGTGATGTAAAATTACCGGTAATTTATTTTTGGGTAAGGTAACGGTAATTTTGCAAGTAAAATTCGCGGTAATATTTCATCCAAGTTTACCTTCCCGGCGAACTGGTAATATTACCACTTTGGTAATATTACCACTGTAGTAAAAAGAAAGTGAATAGCTGTAAATAACTTGTATTTGTAAAAGTTTAGTAAGAAAAATAAAAGAAATATACATTTTCATAACATAAAACAAAATATAAATTCTTTTTAAACTTATAAAAGAATAAAACTCAAGAGTATGATCAAGTATGTTGGTCAATCAGTCGGCAATCAGTCTAAAATCGTAGTCTTCATCAGACGAATTATGATCATCTTCATTGTTGTCAATGTCATCATCTTCGTTTGATATGCTGCTTGCTGCGTGATTCAGCTTGCTCTTGCTTTTTCCTAGCTGAATATTATGGGCAATAAACGTGAGCTTTCCAGCACGCTCCACTGTAAGTCGATTTCTTTTGGCCGTGTGAATAGTTGCATATCTGGTAGGTTGTCAGTAAGATGTTAAATTAACTGTTACAATTCAAAACTTACCTGCTAAATGTTCTTTCTGTAGCCGCGGTGGAAGAAGGCAGCGATAAAATATCTGCGGCCATGGTACTTATTTTAGATGTAGAACATAATCCACTCCACCATGTTAAAGGTGAGATCGCATTTTCACTTTTTTTTACAAATTCTTTGCTGAATATTCCATGACCTGCTCTGTACTGGGCAAAACCTTCAATTATCTCTTCAAAGAATTCGCAATATTTAGGGTGCTTCTCCGCAATTTGATAAAATAGTTCTGTAGCCGTAATAATTTCATTATTAGTCAACTTCTTTCCTTTTTGTGATGGGTCAAGTAGATTTGCCAAATAGTGAATCGGTCCTAGAGATTTCGATTTCCGTTGTTTGAATATGTTGTCTAAGATTCCAAAGTTATCATCATCATCATCAAATTTTTCTTGAAGCATTTTATTAATTTCATGAAAACAATCTGCAACCTTTGAAATATGCGGTTCATCCGATTCAAATAATGTAATCCATTTGCTAATTGGAGCAAAGAGTGAATACAATTTAGTGACCAAGGGCCAAAATTCTCTGTCGTCTAATAAAGAAGACTTTGATAAATTCGACATAAAATTTTCTGCAGCAGGATCGACGCATAATAATTTTAATATTTGCTTTAATCGTAACAATCTTCCTAAACACATACTAAAGGAATTCCACCTTGTCCTCACAGGTAACTTTAAGCTTAAACTGACTTTATTCTTTTCTTCTTGAATTTCCTTTAAACGAGCTTGTAATACATGTGAATTTTTTATTTCTTTCACAACTGCAGTCACACTTTTTTTAAAGTTACTTATCTCGTCTAATTTCAAAATATCTTCAACCAAAAGATTAAGGGAATGGCATATGCAACCATATTCTAACATGTATGAAAATTCGTTATGAATTTCTCGCCGTGCCTTTCTTATATTGGCACCATTATCTGTTATAATAGCTAAAAATTTATGTACTCCAATCTCTTCCAAAACTAATTTAATTTCTTTTTTTAAAAACTCCGACGTATGTCGATTGCTTTTTGTATGTTCCGTTTTGTAAAAAACTGGTGTGGGTGTATTTATTACATAATTTGTAATAGAGTCGTTTCTTACATTGGACCACTGATCGCACTGTAAAGTTAATACCGAAGCTTCTGAAATTTTAGATTTCACACAAGACTGTATTTCTTCAAACTGGGTATCCAAGAGAGAAGTTGATAAGATATAACGACTTGGAAGTTGGTAGCATGGTCTTAAACTTTGAAAAAACTGCAACCACACATCAGATTCGCTCATCGATAGTGGAGACCCAGATACAAAAACGGCTCTTGCAAATAAATTATCTAATTTTTGTTTCTCGTTAGGATGAATCTCATCAAAAAATGGACGAATATTTTGTAATTTGGTAGTAGATGTTGTGGAATTACTACTACAAGCACTACATAAAGTAACTGTGCTCACTGTAGAAATATTGGAAGAACACAAGGCATCATGGTTATTATCAGCAGTCTCTTTATCAGATTTTATGTCAGATTTTTCTGTAAATTTTTGTGTGCTCGTTAAAAGTTCTTTTTTATTTTCGGGTGAAATTTTGAGGCAATTTTTTAAATGAGTAAATTGTCTAGTAGCATTTTTTTTAAAATGTTTTTTGCAGTACTTGCACTGGTAGATATCTGCAGTTGTTTCGATATAATGATTCCACACGGATCCCTTTACCTTTCCCATTTTACTAGAATAAATAATTAAAAAAATATATAATAGCACATGAACATAATGCAGAATCAATTCATTAATCAATAAGTATTGGAAATAAAGTTAGGTTATGTTAAAAGGTCAATGCAAAACACTGGATGTAAAATGTAAAAAAATAAAAAGAGGATATCGGTATAATCTCGTTTATACTCCAACATGATTTTTGTGTACTTACCCTTTAAAAACAAGACTTCGTACAGGATACAGGGCACGGACACGATATATTAAAATTATCGTATCGCTGCTGTATCTGATGTTTGAAGCGTGATCATTGAAGAAAAAGAACAAAGAACGTTCATGTCAAGAATTCGCGCATAATTTATATTTTTACACCACAGATGGCGCACCTGACACAAAATTAATATAGAAAATTAACAAAGGGTAATATTACCCAAAGTCCATTGTAATATTACGTAAAATTTCCAATATTACCGGTAATATTACTTTGGTAAAATTACCACCCACATCACTAATCCCAACTGATATACGTGTCCTTGCAAAAATGTTGATGACGTCATCGTATTTTTTTTTAAATTCCCACTACAAAAATGTAATGAGAAAAAAAAACACAATAGGCATGCAGTCGTCAAGTTTCCGACAGCGAGGGAAGTACTGTCTAAACTCTTTAGACCAATTTTTTTGGTTAGGATGGGTTATTCTTTGGAACAAAACACGTTCATCATCATGTCCTATTACCGTAGTGGGGTGTTAAATCAGAATGCGGACTGGGCGTACTTTCTAGATTATTTTCGACAAATTTAACCTCACTTTTTGGATTTCATTATTTGAAAAATTATTGTTTCTTTGCAAAACAGACCAGATGATTTGTTTTGTTCAACTCTAATCGACTTTTCAAGGTGTAATTCATGACAAAGCCCTTAAACGCTTTTGTGATAATGTACAATTTTCGAAGGTCAAATGTATTGCAGTAGCGTTCACAGATGCTTGATAACACTGGAACTCCTAATGCTCTGGCGTATTTTCGTGTCTATTTAAAATGAAATTACACCGCAAACCTGGCATTTCAAGTTTTGATACATTTGACAGATTTGTTTTGACCCTGTATAAAACATAAAAATTTGTGTTTTTACGAGAATGCTGTCACTTAAGACATATATCACAAAATAAGCTTCGTCAAACACTCAATTCAACATGTGCATGGTGTCCCGATTTCTTAAATGAATAAATCTAATAATAATAAAACGCATTACTTTCTGTAAGTTGAAGCCACTATTATAATATTGCTACACAAAGCTGGAGTCATCGTGAATCAACATTGAATTTTCTGGTGGTATAAAAGTGAATTTTTGTACCTTCTATCTGAGTACACCAAATTTTTAATTTATCTTAATACACGTATAGACGATTTATACAACATACTGGCAAAGCTTTGACAAAGCTGCTTTTTGTCTACAGTCAGTCGTAGCGAGTCGATACTGAATTTGAATAAACTCTTTTTTTTGCTGGTATAAGAGCCAAATTTTTTTTATACATTATGTGAGAAAACAAATTTTTAACGTACCTCCCGTCGTCTAAACTGTTTACATAGTCGCAGAACTTTAAAAAAGCTGCTTTTTGCGTTCGGCGGTTTTCTCATCGCATTACTCATACTCCATCGTGCCAATTTAAAACTATCATCTCGACTACTGTTTGCGTCTAGAAAGAATTGCAATTATTAGTTGCTGACGTAATTGTATATTGATTCGAATAAAGAGAAGCGCCAGGCCAAAACCGAATCTCGTTCATTACAGCCTGAGTCATGGGTCGCACTTGAGTTAAATTGCAGGATTAACATAATGCTGATCTACAACAGTCAATGTTTTGCAGGTCCCGGAATCGAATTCTAAGTCGAATTAAAACCGGAATACTCGAGGATAAATTCGATTCCATAAAATGTACAATTTTGGTTAAAGTTAATGCGATTAGGGTGCTACGTAATGAAACCGGCTGTTTTCCGGACGAATATTTGACAAAAGCAAATTCCTTTTTTATCCTTTATTCATCTTCTTGACCCTAATCCCAATTGCGGCCATTCTTATAGCCGGAACTCTTCGTCACTGACAACATGCGAGGAACGATGCAGAATGCACGGATTTCAGTTATTTAACATAAACTTAAAAAAATTAAATCTGCGTGCTACGAATGTCGAAGCACACAAATAAATCACTTTTTCCATAATGAAGTTATATAGAACGAATGTAACATCGATGCAGAGGTTTAGATTGCTCTTCACGTTTTGTTGGCTCCAGTGGATTTTTTCCTAGAAATATTTGAATTCTTTAGATTATTATCAGCTAGCAGATGTGTTTCAGTAAAGTTAACAAATCAACACTAAAGTACATTAGTTGTATTATAGATAAATAATAATCCAAGTTTCGTTGAAAAAAATTTAAAAATATTTCATCTTTTCTAATACGAAATTATGAAACAAGGAAATTAGAAACCTTCCTCTTTAAAAGGTACATTACCGACTAAACTCCGCAATTCTGAACAGATTATTTATAGCAGATGAGTTATTATAATTTTATTGTTTGAAGGTGAGTTATTGTTTGCCTGCAACCTAATTTAGTTCCATCTCTATTCTAAATTTAATCTTTATGATCACTGTGAGCGAAAGAGATTTGGAAAAATTATTTGAATACTTATTTTTAGATGATGGTGTATATTTCATACAATAAAAATTATTTTCTTCAACCTACACAGTATACTCATTGACATTACGTTAAACACTGTTTTACATAATACAGCTGTGTATTTTAAATGTAAATTACCGGTTTTATCATGTGTATTTTTGTAACAATAACACTTGGGTTGTCTATTAAATGTCTTTGCGCAATCTTTAAGCTCTTTTATCTCGTTTTTTAATTTGTCATTGTATGAAATGTAGCCAACCGTTCCAAGTAATGATTTGATGTGGTGTTGTTTGATTGTTTGCAAGATTTTTGCCTGTAGTGTTTGTGGTTGCAATAAACATCAACAATAAAAAATTCGTGATTCATTAGTTTATTAAGAAGCTTACACAGAATGAATAAAGATGTGGAACTTTTACAACAAACACATCGCAACCAGGTGCACATTTTGTTTTTCCATTGATTACTTGCTTAAGACGATGTTTTTACTTACTTTTTAGCTTGATCAGTTATGAGCACTGGACGAATTTACCGTAACATGTATCGACATAGCAATAAGGCAAATAAGAAATGAATTATTTTAGAAGTTTTGTGAATAAATATATGTCTTCTAAATTAACCTCTGTATACATTTCCTAGAATTGTTTTATTATTATTTAGGGCAAAATCATTTTCCATGTTTTTATTTATTCATAATCCTAGACGTTATTTAATGACTATTAGTGCTTTATTAAGTTAGTATTAGATTTTCCGGTTGCCGATAGCATAATTAAATGATATGTTTTGATAAATTGCGTTATTCCGGAATACTTCGTTACTGGTTTATGTTTATGATTGATTTTTATTAGACAGGTATAAATGAATATTGTGATTATTTTAATTATGATTTGCTGTTTGTTTATCACACGACTGAATGATATTTTATAATTTAGCGTGAATGTGCCTTTCAAAAATTTTTCGGCATAATTTTATTATCTTTCCAAGCATAAAAAATTATACGCTTCACAAATTATCCCGATGAGAACATCGTAGAGTTAATGTGTAAACTCTCTGAAAATAAATTTAAGTTTGAAAATCTACGTTTGTAATATATAGATATATGTAAGGAATATAGCGCATGCTGGTATATTCGTACATCTTCTGTAAAGATGTTTGAAATATACCTTGATTAACTTAAAACAAAATTATTTCTGTTGATTTTAATAAATGAACTTATGATGTTTCATGATAACTAAACGAATAAATTATTTCTTTTTTGCTTTTGCTAAAGTTAGAGTTAAATTTTATACATTCCTTACATTCTTAACGATGCGTTTAGTTTACGTACACAAAGGTAAGCAATACTGGGAGAAAAAAGTGGTCTAGATGAGAGAAATGGAATTAACTGGCGATTTTTTGGGCCCTTTCAAAAGTAGAATTTTACAGGAGAGCATGTAAATATTTTGACACTTTTGACTACAAGTCTAGAACAAACGTTCCAAACGGTTATTACTGTTAGTAAGACCCCTTAGCACAGAACACTATTTTAAGAATTTTATCCTGTTTTTAAAGATCTATTTAAAAAAGCAAATATTTTAAAAAAGAACTTTTTTTACGATTTTACGCTGTTCTTACACCACCCTTTTTAAAAGTCCAAATTTTAAGGGTTGTGCGCTGTTTTGAGGAAATATAAAATTCGATTCCGGCTAAAAAAAAATCACTACTGAAAAAATGTGGAAAATACACTTTTTTAAGTTTATTAATTTAATATTCCTTGCCGTTTTATTTTATTATCTTGTTTTCGCGGGCGCTCACCACCTGAGATCCGTGCCTCCGGCTTGAGAGCAACCCCGGCGCTCCCTCCCTCGGAGAGGGAGCTGACGCCCGAGCGACCGCCGCTCCTGACCGAAGGCGACACCCCCGCATAAGCTTAGGTCGGCCAGGCGTGTTCTTAAATCAGCGACACTAGTCGGCCCAAAGCTTGGCACCCAGGTACGCCGCCACTACAATAGTGATATCAATACGACTATCCACCAGTTCAACGCGATTTTGCTTAATGCAGCCTCTAAATATATAGGGAAGATTACATCCGGCCTCATAAAGTAGCTTGATGAAAACCCCGAATGTAAGGAAAGGTGATAAAATAAAATAAGAGAGCATATAATCAATGGAAGCGATGCCCAACGGTTGCACATTTAGTGGAGTTTAAGAAACATAGAGCTAACGAACGATTTTGTATGAAGTAGAGCAAAAAATCTTCTTACGTTATAAGTTTGTACCTACGTACGTTAACCCCTAGGACGCCGCCAAAAACTCTGTGGAATAAGATAAACAGACTTAAAGGAATCGCCTCACACCAAACAC